TTAATACAAATACAGATCATTTCAGTGTGCAAACTGTAAAAGAGTAACATTGAATATAATGGCATATAGAATTCTGCTTGTTTAGAGGAGCCATTTGGTTTAGTTTTGCAAGACTGATGCTTGGTGCTTGAACATGTTTTATTCCTTGATTTTTCTTCATATTTATTAACTAAATAAACTAAACTCAGATTGACCTAGAAAGCGACACCAGTTACTCTTAAGTCAAGAATGATGCACACACTTTTCAGGGTGCAGATTAGGAAGGGGTTTCTTTTTCTTGGAAAGCAAACAGCTTGTGAGTAACCACTGTTACATTTTGTGCCATGCAGATAAGAAAAACCAGTGTATGTTAAATTTGACTGTACTATTGGGTAAATATGAGGTAATTGTGCAGTATGTGTATTTAATGATATGGTAATTGTTTTAAAGTACTCAAAAGGTGAAATTATTGTTCAATAGGAATCCCATTCCAAAGTCCACCCAACCATAGAGTTCAACAGCTCTCCTAATTCCCTGAAGGCTTAAAGTGTCAAAATTATAATGGACATCAACATTATTAGAGAGGCAGACATGGACATGACACAGACTGTGGAATGCCTGTTTGCAGTCTTTTGTCTTTTTAGTGTGATGTTCATTGTGACATTGTGACACAAGAACACTAATGCATACAAAAAAAATAAATCAATTGTACATCACGTTTTTATAGTGCTTTATAATAGATGTTTTAATCCAGTTTAATTGTTCATGCATTGTGGCTTATTTTTGCTAATTTCAGAGAAACTTGTGAAAGTTAAGCACTGTGTTTCTACAAACAGTACATAAACAAGCTTATAAATCTTTATTAAAAAGTGAAATCATTAAAATTAGATGGTCGCAAGTTTAATTAATTTTCTTTTTGGCCTAGTCTCTTTATTATTCAGGAGTCGCCACACCGGAATGAACCGCCAACTTATTCAGCATATGTTTTTCGCAGCCCTTCCAGCTGCAATCCATCACTGGGAAACACCCATACACACTCATTCAAACTCATAAACTTCAGTCAATTTAGCTCACCCAATTCTCCTATAGCACATGTTTTTGGACTTGTGTGGGAAACTGGAGCACCCGGAGGAAACCCACACCAACATGGTGAGAACATGCAAACTCAACAAAGAAATACCAACTGGTCCAGCCGGGGCTCGAACCAGAGACCTCCTTGCTATGAGGCGATTGTGCCATCCACTGCGCCACCGTGCTGCCACGTACTTTAATGTTTAAATATTTTTATATATTTTGTATATTACATCAAATAAATGTAAACATTTAGAATTTTCAATATTCAATAATAATTAACTTGTGTAATAAAAATAACCCTTAAATGGTTCTAAAAAAAAAAAAAATCTTTAATCTTGAATTCAAAGAACTATTTGGAGTTCTATTTAACAAAACCAATTAAAATGGTTCTATATAGTGCCTTTTTGTAGTTGCATATATGAAGCAGGTGAGGCCATTTTTGGTTCTAAGTGGAACAATTTCATTTGAGAGCATGATAATAGATCCTATAGCAGTGGTTCTCAAACTTTTTTTATCAAGTACCACCTCAGAAAAAAATTGTCTCTCCTAGTACCAACAAAATGAGCAGTATTGAAATACAGTAGCGTAGTCGGCCCAGTAAAGCAGCTACAACTCTGCACAGTTAAAAAAGCGTGGCAGAATACCTCAGAATTATAGGCTATATGTCCTATATGGCATATTATATCCATCATTTTTGGTAAATTTTGAAATGTGTGTAGCATGTACATGACATATTTCATTCCTCCGCGTACCACTAGAAGGAAGCCTGTGTACCACTAGTGGTACATGTACCACAGTTTGAGAACCACTGCCCTATAGCATAAAGGAAAATCAATGTGCTATAAAGCATGCTTATGAAAGGGTGCCATGTTGCACCAAAAAACGTTCCCTATTACGATAAAAAGAATCCCCTAATTCTGTTGAGTACTGTTTAACACCTCTTGTGGTTTTAGATAGCACTATTTGAATTTTAGTTTGGGGGGTAGAGGTGGTGGTTTGAATGTTCATAAAAGTGTTTTGAGTTTGTTTTTTTTGTAAAGGAATAAGAAAAGCAGCAATTGCACGTTTGTATAAAACGACACCACTAGATGGCAGCAGAAACACAGATGATTGGTTTCATGCTCTCTGAACATTCTTTCCCTTTTGTTGGCACTGAATCAACGATCTGAAGGTCAATGCCCGTTTTGGGACTTCAACAAAACCAAAACCATGCTAGACATGTGAAATATCTTTGATTAGGGCTGCACAATTAAGCCTACATTTGTTGCTAAACTAATAAAGCGACTGTACCTGCCTATTATATGCTATTAATAACAATATTACACTGATAACAGCTCGAACTTTGCATTGTGATTGTGTATAATGGCGGTTAACTATGTTTTTAACTTTTTTATATGATGGTCTGCAATAGTGATTCGACTTTCGGGAATCGGTTCTTTTGAACAATTATATCTGGAATATGGTTTTACATACAGACTAGTTTCAATACTACGTACTGCATAGGAGATAGGATATGTGGCTTTTGTGCAATGACTGTAAAAAATATGGACGACGCGACAGCCCCTTTTCCCATTGAACGCCTTGAGGGCAAAACGCCTGCTTGACGGGCACAAACTGTCGCAAAAGACTGCTGAAATTGGAGCCTTGACATGCGCAGAAGGACTGTCTGATGGAGCCAGAGGAGGAGCCGCGATAATGAGCGGAGTCGAGCTTCCAACCAAACGCTTTATGTAAAATCAACCACGCCCCCCGAACTTCTCACTCGACTCCCGGTGTCTGCACTATAACAAACGCTCACTGATGTAAATAGAAGCACTTACATAAAAAAAAACACAATAATATACGGTTTAAAAACGGTGTGATGTAAGCTGTTAAACTTTAATAAAAGCAATACATGCTGGACTGCAGAAATAAACGATCTTTTATACACTCTAGCCTGAATATGAGCACAAATAATATATTCTCTTATTGTTATATTTGTTGTTGGTATTTGTTATCTTCATAGGGGTAGAAATAACACTTGTAAAACATATAAACAACACATACATTTTTAGAAAGGTTTTTATTTTTAATTAGCCATCAACAGAACCCAAAATATAGCCTACACACCATAACGATTTACCATGCGGGAACAATCGTGCGTTTAGAAGATAAATACAGCAAGATTACTAAATATCAACAGGATATTTACACATCCCAACCCTGCAATTTGTCAATTTGTGCAAAAAAACTTTGCACTATTAATACAACATCTATCTGCTGCAACATCACTATTGTTTATTCATTTTCGCTTGAATTGTTTATTTATTTAATTTTTTTGCCTCCGTTTTCATTTGGTTTATTCGATGCCTTCATTATATCTGGCAACGAGGAATTTACATTCATTTTAATGTTAGCTGGAGTGTTCAAATAAAACGCCAACAGTAAATGATGTAAATAAATAATATCTAACATTTACAGCTCTATTAGGTTATATAAGATTCGATTTCAAGAACCTTATAATGATTTATAACAGCACATTCAGTAGATTACTTATAACATGCCAAAACTTAAAATGCAGAGACGTACTGTAAAGCAAGTTCAAATAACCTTACAGGAGATCAAAGTGGAGATATTTAGACACAAAGAGAATTACTGCTAACGATCTCCTGTATTTTCCCCGTACTTAAATGGGTTTATTTTATTGTGCAGTTTTATTGTCATTTTCGTATTTCTTAATTCTTGTGCACTACAAAATGTATTCAATTGTATTATTATTTAATACTTAAGCAATCGATACAGGTTTATTGTTATTTATTTTGTCCTTTATTTAAATAATTGCTATGTATGCTGTTTGCATCTTTATTCAAAGGTTAAACTCAGTGATACACTTTGCGTTCACATAGTAGCATGCGTTTGTTGTTATATCAACAAAAATGGTTGTAATAACGTTAACAAATGTGAGGGTTTTATATAATGAAGATTCAATCGCGCCAGCTCCGGGCAGCAGCGCACATAACCTACTCGCGGCGTCGCGGGCTGATTCCGGCTCGCATGCGGCAGTGCCTGCTCGCTCGGCCCCGGCATCTGGCTCAATTGACTCAGGCTGGAATCGGGCAGTGAGTCCAGGCATCCGGAGTAGGTCCAGCAGAGGTAGTCTGTCTGAGGGGTAAGTCTCCAGCAGGCAAGAACTGGCCCCAGTGTATTTTGCTATCTGGGTGGCTAGGCGTGTATTAGCAAACTAATAAAGCCCGAAAAAAGCTCTGACCTTAGCGAATAAACAGTGTTCCACCAGATCATGTATGTCAGAAACTGTAGTTTACTGCTGAACTCATTTTGTCATAGTAAAATATCACAGAAATCGAGTAATAACACTTCAGTCTTCTGCCGAAGCTCAGACGCGCTGCTTTGAGAAACTGTCAATCACAGCTGTCAATCACGATGACACGCCCAGCATTAAATTACTGCTAAAAACAAACTGTTTACAAAAATGAAGATCTGCACCTATTTCAGCACAATAATCAGTGCCTTAATCGACCAGAAACATCTTTCGGGACATTTTATTGCAAGTGTAATTATTTTTTTTTATTTGGGCTCAAGTCTCCTTCATTAACACGGAGGAGGCGGGCTTTATGACTTGTACTGCAGCCAGCCCCCAGGGGGCGATCTAACGGCCGAGACCCTCACTCAAACGCAGGCTTGCAGCACACTTGCTTTTGTGATGCTTTTGTCCCCAATTTATCTGACTGCGGCTTAATCTTGCGTGTATTACCATTTCATGCACACTTCGTTGTGGCCACAATCCTGCAACGTTTCTTTTGCATCTACAGTAAACAACGCTTAAAATTTTGAAAAATTGTTGTTAGAACACCAGGAAAATATGTAAGCGAATTGTTCAATAGTGTTTTGTAAAATGGTTCGACTGACTAAAAGAATTGGTTCAAATGAAAGATCCGACTCTCAAAGAACGAATCATCGCTACTGCAGTGATTGGCAGTCGCTTGTCCAGCCCCTTCATAGTCCATGAGATCATAATGCACCACAAACACTTAGAAATCCAGATATTTACGGACTGTTAGGTATAATCAAAGCAAGGATTATGGCTTCAGAAGCGATGGAGTTGAATGGAGGTGTAAACCGAAGGGATGATCCAGGAGCGGTGAGAGATATTGAACAGACTCTTTTCATTCAAAATGACCACAAAGCGACCCGCCAGTTGAATGTAACATCAAGCGTTAAAGTTTATCTAGATGTCTATGAAACCCACTCACATTTACACTATGGTGTCGAATGTTTTTGTTTGGCTAGATTTAATTATTAAGTATTTCACGGATAAGCTGCGGGCGTATTTTCCTTAGGTTTTGTGTATGTCGATACTGTAATGCAGTGAATGCACTTTCGTACATGAGTGGAACTGAAGGGATGTTGTGGTGTGGCCGATTGTATATTTAGTACATTATGAGGTGCTTCGACTGTCCGGATTATTTGTTTCCAGTAACGGAAGTCTGCAACGTTAAGTGTCGAGTTAATTTGAGAAGTTAAGCGGCACAAAAGGTGTTCAAAGTTTAGAAACAAACCTCTTATTCATTAGCTTGTTGTTCTGCTCCATCGAGTCCAGGCTGATGATGAGATCACCCGACCATGTAACCATCAACAATAGCCCCTGGAAGACACTAATAAACTCTGTCAGCCGAGGAGACACATGTATAGCTCCCATTTAAGCTATTAGAAAATGAGCAGCAAAACACGAAGCTAAAATACTTTAATAAGCAATAAATAAGGTCAATATACAGCAAATTACAGTAAGTGACTCATAACTTAGGTTAGGTCATTTATCATAAGATGCGTTAACAGAATTGTAAAGTAAAGAGCATGCCTTTTACAACATTTTACCATAAAGAAGTTATATAGTATAATAATCTCTTAATAAACTAAGTGATGGTCAGACTGAGACAGACAGACAGACAGACAGACAGACAGACAGACAGACAGACAGACAGACAGACAGACAGACAGACAGATAGATAGATAGATAGATAGATAGATAGATAGATAGATAGATAGATAGATAGACAGACAGACAGACAGACAGACAGACAGACAGGTAGGTAACAGTGATTCATCTCTCTGGCCAAAGAGGGAAAATGTAAAAGTAAACAAGCAGATCATAAATGTATCTTTCAGAATTGAGAACTAGACCTAGTAGTATAGCAATAGTTCCAGTTGCTACTGATAAGTTATTGTGTAGTTCGTTTTTTAGACTATGTAATATTTATAATACATTTTATGTAAAGTAAAGGTTTGTAAACATTGAGATTTTGAATAAGGGTTGTATGCCCACCAATCAGTGACGAGGCGACTAGGCCAGGGTGGCCCTGGCCCACTCAAACTGAAGGCTGGCCCACCCAGACAAAAAATAAATACATTTATTATGGAAAATCCCAAACAGGAAGCATGTAAATGACGTAGGGATATTTATGAATGAAATGTAACATTGATGATTAATAGCATCCTTTAGTCATTGTTTGTCTATAAAATTTAAATCCCCCACCACTGCATGAAAATGTCCAACTATTGCTCCGCACTTTGCTCCTTTCTTTCTTATTTATTGCTCGAGTTGACTGAGGCAGCAGCTCTGAAAGCGAATCTGTCCAACTGACTAAAATGCTGGTCAAGAAAGAAGATTGTGAGTAATAAAATAAGTAGTGTGAGAGGTATGATAAAATAATCAAGCTGTTTTTAGTATTAAATAAAAATAATTAGGTTTTCATTATAGCTAATGTTGGCAGAGTGGGTAGCGCTGTCGCCTCACAGCAAGGTCACTGGTTCGAGCCTCGGCTGGGTCAGCTGGCATTTCTGTGTGGGGTTTTCATGTGCTCGTCTCCCAGTGTTTGTGTGGGTTTTCTCCGGGAGACGTAGACCCTCCAGTGTGTCCTGGGTGTTCCCCGAGGCTGCATCCATAACAGATGCCCAAGCCACCTCAGCTGACTTCTCTCAATGTGGAGGAGCAGCAGCTCTACTCCCAAGGACAGAGCTCCTCAACCTATCTATAAGGGTGCGCCGTGCCACCTTGTGAAGAAAACTAATTTCAGCCGCTTGTATCCGAGATCTTCTCCTTTCGCTCATGACCCAAAACTCATGAGCATAGGTGAGAGTAGGAACGTAGATTGACCAGTAAATCGAGAGCTTTGCCTTTCGGTTTAGCTCCTTCTTTACCATAAAAGTCCGGTACATCTATCGCATTACTTCTGTCGCTGCATCTATTCGCCTGTCAATCTCACAATCCATCCTTCCCTTACTCATGAACAAAACCGTTCACCCATGACATAGCATAATGTGTTTAAGCAGCAAATCAGCATATTAGAAACATACTTTGAAGGATCCTTTTTACTTGTTTGCATATTTTTTGGCTTGACCACTAGTGTAAGGAGTGCAGGGAAAGTGTGCATTTTAAAAGCTGTGGCAGGTCACCATTTCCCATTACAAATGCCTTTCAGCTCTTACACTTAATATGCTTTTCTCATTAACATAACCTCAAATTTCAATGAGCTTTTATACACTTACATCAGCATTTAACAGCATTTAACATTTAGAGGTCCTGTGGTTAGAAAAACGAGCGACATCTAACCACCTGCGGGACTTCTCCATCCAACAAACATCCTGAAACACACAAAATCAAACATATCATCATTCCTGTGGGCACAACCAATGTTTAAATCTGTGTGTTTAGGCTAACTGAAAGGTCAGTGATTTCCATGTGGGTAATTTCTATGCCAAGTCAGAAAGACGCTTCCACTTGCTTTTAGTATGATGTAATATTTGAGTAATATTTTGGTCAGTTGCAGTACCAGTCGAATTCAGATTAGTAACAGCTCCACAAATAGTCTAGCTTCAAATTGAAACCAGAAATTGCATTAATAAACATGAAGGTATAAGCACAGATGGGTTATTCTCACAAAACCATTAAAACAACATGGCACTTAAGATTTAAAATATAAAACCTAGTAATTTGGTTAAACAAAAAAAATTATAATAAAGACATCACTCTTCTCTACGAAGCACAATGTGTAATTTCAACATAATTTAATTATTTTTAATCATTTTACTGCATTTTCTACTGAAATTCTGAAGACCGAAACGTGTCCACCTATGTCTGAATGTGTTATGTTGTAAATTGAACAAATTAGCATGGAAATTTCAGCATAAAAACAAATGAATTGTTCTGCTAGATTATTTTGTATGACAGAGTTTTCATATATAACAATAATGAGAAAAAGCTGAAAAATGATGCGTCCGTGATGGATGTTCTCATTCTCCGCAACCATTCTAAAGTACTGTTTAAACACAAGTTTAATTTTAAATGAAAGTTATCCTCAAGCTATTCATTTGAAATATATTAACTCATTTAGCAACTCGCTGACTTCAAGTATGAAAGCCTCTGCAACTCGCGGCTGTACATTTATAACTGTAATGGTTGGGGTTGTGGTAGGTATAGGCGTTAATAACTGTGATGGTTTGGTTTAGGTGTGGAGTAGGTGTAGATGTTAATAAATGATGTACAGCGCCATATTGCCGACAACAGTTTTGACAGTTTTGATACTTTTTTGACTACAAGTCATGATGGCCCCTCATGTTATGATGGTTCATTTCAGTTTATCCAAATGGAAAAATTTATTTGAAATTAAAGTTTTGTTTTTAAAGCCCTAAAAAGAAAACATTTAAAATCCAATGTGAAATTCAGATTCTATATAAAATGTTTTTGTTTTTTTTTATCTCATAGTATACTTAAAATTAATGTTAAAATAATTACCCTTAATTCTGCAGCCTGTTCATCAATACCGCAATGTTCATTAAGTGTTCTTTTATTATTGTTTTTTAATTGTTTGCTTTTCAATTAATGTGCATTATCTACAAATTATGTCCTTTCAGGTTAGCCACATCATTTTGAATATACATCAGGTTTTATCAAAATATATTTGAAAAAAATGTTGTCAGTTGCGCACGGTATTATTGCGGTAATGAGAAAATCCAATAAAAATAGAAAACCCGGTTAATTTTTTAAATATATGTATTACATGTAGGGCTATACTTCTCACCATGTATCTTTTCTAACATAAAGTAAAGTGTAAGATCATGTTTATTACTAAGAAAACTAAATCAAAATGATATTTTAATTGAACACATCACATAAGGTACGCATACAGAACAGTCTGTTTAGTATTGTGAAAAGGCAAAGCTGAATATCTGTGGGTAAAGTGCCACCCAGCTGCTGGTGCACCGATTGCCGCCGTCGCCGCGGTATGAATGGCGGCAAAAGGACCACATTGAAGTAGTAACATCTGTACATGTTATTTCAGAATCTCAAGTAACTACACATGACTGTTAAACACATCCCTTTTTTAAAAATGTCAAAGTAAATTCGCTCTAACAGTCGATTTTGCAGACTGTTGCGGTAATGACATTGTTTTCTTTTGGAAACTATGCTCAGGTACTAAATAATGTGTGTAAATTTTCTTAATTAATGTTGACAAATGCTCCAGACTTTGGTAAAATTTTTCTCAAAAAAAAAAGTTAATTAAAAAACTGTTTTTATTAAATTTGTTAGAATTTTTCGTGAGAATGACCCAGTTAATGGATACAATTGAAGTCTGAAATGTAAATGAATTGTAGTTGCTGCTTTGTAGGGTTGCACGGTTTACCACTACTATGGTAGTATCGCAATACTATGGCTTCAAAATACTGGAGGTGCCACTGTAGTTTGTAAACAGTAGTTTTGTCGATAACGGTTTATCTACAATAGATTATCATGTGGAAAAGTCACTAATATGCTCACACATTTGTGCAACAATAGGTCATTTTATTTTAATAGTCTGTGGAGCCCTTTAAGGTTGCAAAACTGTAGATTTTGTGACTTTTACACACATCAAACGCACATCTGAATCGGTTAATTACTGTTCCTGTTAATATGATTTAGTAGCTACAACAAACGCAACAATCTCTTTAAAAGAACAAATCACAAAGTGAAAGTTTGTATTACTTTGGATTGTTACCTGATAAGACTGAAAAAAAATATATATCAAAAACCCAAAATAGCAACAGGAAACATTTTTTACAACAGGTAACAATTTGAGCACCTCATATAGCCTAATTTTGTTAAAA